GAGACATGCTCTTTTTTAAGAATCTCATCGTTGTTGTTTTTTTTTTTTTTTACATTGTTTGCTTCTTTTATCATGAAAATGAAACCTGATGTTTATTTTGATGTTTATTATGTAGGCATTTGTTTCATTTTGGCTGCAAGCTTGGCTTTGTCTTTCTTGTAGAAGTGAATCTGGATCCCAATGGAACTTCCTGGTTGAATTAAAAAATAATAAAAATAAGTAGAGCTACTCTTACTTCAGTACAATTTTTGGAGACTTCTCTTGTCTCCTCTAAAACCACCCATGGTAAAAACACATTTTTGGAAAATGTTTTAATTAGACGTCTTTAATGGATGCGAGAACTGATTGTTTCTTTTTGGTTTAATCCAGTGCTGTATTAGTAATAGTATCTTTACTACTAGTAGTCTTCAGAGGTGTCATGTAAGGAAGTACAAATACTTCTGACTTCTACAAATTTTCACACAAATATCTGCAATTTCTATTCCTTACATGTTTAAAACAAACGTTACTTGTTACTCTTGGCTTAAGTTTAATGTTTATAAATATTTATTTCACATCATGTGCGCCATCCAATACAGATCATTGACTCCATCCACATCTAGTGAAAACTAGTGTGATTGGATGAGTCATATAAAGCAATCACTCATTGGTTAGCTAAAGGAAATCATCAGAAGCAAACAGGTGTTCTTCAAACTGCAACCATGAATTGTCTACTGTATGCCGGGGTGTTCAAGTCCAGTCCTCAAGAGCTACCATCCTCTAACTTTTAGATGCACACCTGAATCGACAGGCTCAATCCCCTCATTTAGCCCAGCAGAGGCAAGGTAACGAGCCACCATTTGATTCAGGTGTGTTAAAAATGGGGTACATCAAAACGTTGCAGGATAGTAGCTCTTGAGGACTGGACTTGTGCACCACTGCTCTATGCCATGCTACAATGTAGGATTCAGAAAAAGATGTTGAAATGTCTGAAAGGTCGGACACAGGCGAGAGAACTCCCTCATCCTTGGCCCTATCTCAAAGAATTATTCAAAATAGTCGTAAAATTGAGCTTTCAATTCATATAGTGGCATCTGGCTGTTTTTTTTTTACTTTTATGCTTTAAGTAGCTTTTGGAGAACATACTTTTTTACTTTTACTTGAGTAAAGAGGTCAAGTTGTCAACTTTTACCAGAGTATTTTTAAACTTCTACTTAAAGGAATAGTACACCCAAAACATGATTAGCCTTCATTTTCTACTCACCCCCATGCTAAACATTTTTGAACTTTTTTGATATCTCAAATGCATCTGGAGATCTGGGAGGCTTCTTGCTGTCTGCTGACATTCAAATAATGGAGGTCTATGGCGCCCGAGGCAGAAAGGTCCATAAAAGTCCACAAAAAACGTGTCAATATTCCTCCATACTGCTCGTCCAATGTATTCCAAGTGTCCTGAGTGGGTAGCATCCAGAATTTACTCGAAACGAAGTCATTTAGAATGTTCTTAGAGCATAAACAGTAGTGTATAGGATTTCCTGAAAGCGCGCACATGCGCGTTCACGACGCTACGGAAGCCGGCAGACCAAACCAGCGCATTCAGCTCGGCAAAGAACTCATGCTCTTCCTCAACACTGAAGTCCTCAGACATTTTTCTTTCGTTGTTTCTGTCTTTGCACAGGTAAACAGCACATTTCTTCTTCTACGCTTGCATTATTGGCAGAGCAGACGCTGAATGCGCACTTTCATCTGGTTTGGTCTGCCGGCTTCCGTAGCGTCGTGAGCGCGCATGTGCGCGCTTTCAGGAAATCCTATACACTACTGTTTATGCTCTAAAAACATTCTAAATGACTTCGTTTCGAGTAAATTCTGGATGCTACCCACTCAGGACACTTGGAATACATTGGACGAGCAGTATGGAGGAATATTGACACGTTTTTTGTGGACTTTTATGGACCTTTCTGTCTCGGGCACCATAGACCTCCATTATTTGAATGTCAGCAGACAGCAAGAAGCCTCCCAGATCTCCAGATGCATTTGAGATATCAAAAAAGTACTCCAGAGTGTTGTTCAGCATGGGGGTGAGTAGAAAATGAAGGCTAATCATGTTTTGGGTGTACTATTCCTTTAAGTTCAGTCCAGTAGCTTTTATTTGTCCCAGTATGGGCATTTTTTGTGCAGTAGTAGTACACCTTTCACACGCACGTTCACATTTCACAAATCACAGATAAAAAATAAAATAAGAAACACATAGCATATTTTAAAAAGATAAAAGTAAGGTGGATAAAAGAGAGAGAAAAGAATAAATAAATAAAAATATGTGCAGTGCAGGGGATGAATGAGAGCATATGCCTATATGCATGCAACATATGGCTATCTGCTTTTCCTAGTAGAGTTTAGCAGCTGAACAGCAGAAGGGAAAAAAGGAGTGTTTGTATCTATTGGTCTGAGCTGGTGGATATTTAAAACTGGAACCAGAGGGTAGAAACTAGAATTCATTATGTAGGGGATGGGTGTAATTATCCAAGATGGACTCAGCCTTCCTAATTATCTGATCTTCATACATTTCAGTCATGTTTTTCTGTTGAACATCCATGATCTTACTACATTCCTTAATAATCTTAGATATGGCATTTTTGTTCTTTACATTAAGAAGAGCGTACCAGCAGATGGCAGAGAAGGTAAGTATGGACTCTATAAAAGATCTTTAGAACATGGTAATTAGAGTTTTGTCAACTTGAACGTCCTGAGTAACAAATGTGTGTACTTTTGACACCACTGGTAGTCTTTAAAAACCTTTAACTAAAATAAAAAATAAAAAACAAATAATTAGAATGAAATACCCACTCTGTCCTCTGTTTTTAATGTTTGGAGCATTATAAAACTCTTCCTGTAGAAAATGTCACACAAAGCCCCATGTACACAGCGACATCTAGCGGTTATAATTTTACACTACATCAGCTTAATTGCAGCTCGCCGTTCTCCCATAAGGGGGCGCAAGTTAACAGGAGAAATCCAAGGGGGAGGGGCAAGTGATGCTCCGCTGCAGGTCTGTTCAACAGAACCGGGCTAACTACCCACAGGATTAAGCTAGTTAGCTACTGTACGATGCGATCACCAGAAGCAGAGGATGGAATAGCAGCATCCCGGTGTCCCCGATTCACAGCCCGGACTGTCGCTTTCGGGATGCTTTCTCTGCGGTTGTAACCATCCTCTTCATCCATGCGCCCCCCCGCGCTGCTGTGGGGAGTTTGAGCTCTGAGTGGCGGGCAAGCTGAGTCCCCAACACGGAGGAAACCCTGGTACGGTGCTGATGTTGTTAGCATGCATACAAGCTAATGTTAGACAGACGTTAGACGCGTTAAACGTTTTGTTCCCGTCTTTATCGCAATTTAATGTTGTATACTAAGGTTAATAATGCATGAATAAATGAAATTAGCTTGCACAGCAGCTAATAACGTATCTATATAATGGAATTACGACATATGGAGGTAAATAAAAGCTTTAAGCTTTGGGGTTGCACGTGAAAAGCGCGTTTATAGTTAAGCTAATGTAGTTTTTTATTAAACATGAAGCGTTTGAGTTTAACTTTACATGTTAGTTTTTTTGTTTTTTTTTTTTTTTCTTCATTGTTGTTAGAAACCCTCCACTGTGTAGCCGGGGGACAATGATATAATCTTATGGTAATAATGTGTTTCAGCAGAGGAGCAGCATGGTGGTCCCACACAGTTCCGCTGTAGTTCCGGAACCAATCGGCGGCCCCACGGAGAGCCCCGACCCCCTGTGTGAGGAAGCCGGGGACAGGGGTCAGGAGCTGGCCGGGGTGGAGCTGGAGGAGGTCCGAAAGCTGCAGGAGCTCGTTCGCAGGCTGGAGGTCCAAAACGAGACGCTGCGCAACAGGGGGGGCAGGACTGCTATCTCCAGAGGAGACAACAGCAACCTGAGCGCTGCTGACAATGTCAACAACAGGCTGACCTGTGATCAGCTCAGGCTGGACCACAGTGGAGAACCGGGGAGCTCCAGGGAGCTGTCCCCCCCTCAGGACAACAACAGCAGCAGTGGGGAGGACATGTCCCCCCTTCCCATGCTCAACAGGTCAGGAGAAGATGATGAGGAGAGGGTGGGAGAGGAAGATCTCGATCAGTGTGGAGGTTTTCTCACTCTGACATGTAGAAACACAGGAAAACAGCCTCCAAGGCAAAGCCAGACCCCTGAGAGCCCCTCTCAGGAGAGCTACGAGTCAGAGACCCTCACAGAGAGTGACTCAGGTGTGGACCAGACTGCGCTGGATGAGGTGGATGTCCTAGATCTGGAAGATGAGAGCGGGGAGGTAGAGGACGAGGACAGTTGGTACGTTCATGTTTTCCAGTTATGCCGAGGAGGCGCATTTAACGCTTCATTTCATCCTTTCTGCTTGTTTTTATATAAGCCAAATGAGTCATTTGTGCCTTTACATCTAATTACTGGGATGTGACGTGTGAAACTCCTCCACAGGGCAGTGACTACATAGCATTTGGATGTAAAAAAAAAAAGTAAACTCTCAGTTTTCCTGCATGTGAAGCAGGTGCCTTTCTATGAAAGGGTGAGGCTCGTCTTAAAAAAAGTTGCAACCAAAAATCGTGATAAATCGATTATTGAAATAATCATCAACTAATTTAGTAATCGATTAATCATTAACTGGAGTACAGGACTGTAAAATATGCCTTCAGCTGACAGTGGAAAAAAACTAGAGCAATAATTATACCAAGTTGCTTTTAGAATTAAAAAGAAAATTAATTCTGTCAATATGCTCCATCCAGAACTCCTCACCTGATTTAATAAAAAAAAAAAAGTTTTCTTTAAAGAACCTTTTGCAATCCGATTATAATTCAATTAATCGAAAAAATAATCTCATGGTATCTCAGTTTCAGAAAACAGAACTGCCCTATTTATTGCTTTTTTTTTTTATAGATTTGCTTATTATTATTTATTTCAGACCGTATTAACTCCCCAAAACCAAACACTAGATATGGAACTTTAACAAAACACTTTATCCACCAAAATCAATCACTGATCTGCATTTAAACATGTTGTATGTTGGTCACATAGAGCTAGACGACTAGACAGCTCAGTTTATTTTTCTTCCAGCTTCACATTATTAGCCATACCATGCGGGCTTTGCGAGGTTATCATAGCCAAAACGAGCAGTAATCCTCACTTGAAACATAATCTGATCAGATCTGCCGTATGGCTAATCTGCTTTGCGCTGGATTGAGCAGCATGTGATCAGAGGTGGGGCCCTCCAAGTGTGACAAGACTGTTTTTGTTCTGTTTTCTTTCATTATTTTTTTTTTTTATGATTTAATCAGGTACATAGTGCCTCAAGTTAAAGATATATATAGTTTTAGATACAGCATAGAGCTAAAGAAGCCTAGCAGAGGTGTTCATACACTTTAAACCTTCACATGTTTTCTCCTGTTTCAAATACAGAAGTCATTATAGCAACACAGCCTGGCAGTTAATGATAATGTAGGAACTAATGATATAAGATTTCGTATATGTAGATTTTAAAGTCGTAGAGAAGTCATATTTAAATGTCAAATCATTCTGGCTTAAACATGTATATAAATGTCTTCTTTATCAGATGATATTGCCCCAAAATTTAGAAAATTTCTATTTAAAAAAAAATCCTGTCTGAAAATCTGTGTTTTTTCATTATCTTATGCAGGCCAGTTAGTTATATGTCAGCCTGAACACCTAAATTCGGCCAATCATATATCAACGGTCATCTTTCAATCAATTTTTTTTTGGTCATAGCACCTTGATTCATATGTCGCAGCTAATACACGCAACGGTTGAAATAAGAATAATCCTTTCCTTTCCCATTGAGTTCCGTCCCAGTGTTCACGCGGATGGACGTCTGTGTCTTCAGCAGGCGTAGAGCTAACAGAACTGGCAGCGTTGCGAGGCAAGAGCTCAAACATGTACGGCTGTAAACCTTCTACACCAAACCAAGCTTCTGGCGTCCTCTTCCACAACATCTTCATCCCCGCTTTCCTCCTCTAAATAAAAAATGTGTGACGAAGGAGACTCATCCACGACCTCCGACACTAAACATCTCCTCCTCTTGCATGTTTCCGCTGTCCATAGCGTTCCTTGACAGTCGTTGCTAAGTCCCCAATTTAGTGCTACTTGGTCCCAATGTAATTTCCCATTGGGAACCTACTAGCACCAAGTTGCTAACTGGTTAGCAAAATGCTTCCTACAAACCGGCCACAACCAAACTTGCTTGCGAACCTTCCGCCACAACAATCCTGCCCCCTTGATAAACGACCAATCACATTCCCTTTTTTCAATCGTGTAAAGTCGACTCGGGAGAATTCGGAAAAGCAACAGTTGGAACAGCCGCTTCCCTACGACTTTAAATATAAATAATTTTTACATATTCTGATGGGATAGAGAGTATCCAGATCCAAATATAAAAAATGTATATATTCCTCTTAATAAAGAAACGTGTTTAAATACAATATGTTTGAACTTCAAACAAAGAAACATTAATTGCACATTTTAAACTTTTTAAAGTTTTTGCTCAATTATTGCTCTGAGCAGGTTGTCCTTTCAGCCAATGACATGTTAAAGAGTTTTTACAAAATTAGTTGGCCATTATTTCAATAATCCCTTAATCACCATCAAATAAACTGTACCAAGCCTACCATTTAAAGTTTGGACTTTGACTGGGCCATTCTTTCCCTTGAATGTGCTTTAATCTGTCTTGCAGCTCTGCTTCAGGCTGTATGTTTTGCATTTTTTTTTTTTTATTTATGTAATCAGGACAGAGCACATTAATGAACAATCTTATACTTCTGTACAAATTGTAAATGAGCCAGATTATAGCATAGTTGCTCATTTACATCTGTCGTCCTGAGGCAGGAAGACAAAACAACACAAGATCACATAATACAATATCAGTCAAAACACATAGACACACGTTCAGACAATGACATTACAACAATACATTTTAGAAAACAATTTGTTTCATTGCATCCTCTGTCTTTTCCATCCTTTTAATTAACTGGTTTTCTGCCAGGATTGCCCCGGCACTTCCAACCTGCTCCCCTGTTCCTGCTGAGGAAAACTGTCACCACAGCATAATGCTTCCAACACCATGTTTCCCCTAAAGGCACTAGATACAGCGTGATGTGCAGGGTTAGTCTTATACCACACCCTGTACTTTGCATGTGGGGCTGAAGAGTTTAATACTGACCGGTGCTCCTGCTTCCACAATGTTGTTTTTGTTATTTTTATATGGCTCTTGGTTATTTTAGACATCATTCTCTGTGGTGTCTTCCAATGTTTCATCCTTTTAAGGCATTAAAACAAAGAACAGATTTTTGGAGTAAAGACTTACATTAATTCCGTAGATAAATTGTGGATTATAGTAGTTCTGCCAGATTAAACAAGAGCTGCTTCTCTGATTAATATAAAGTTTTTTTTGAGTGTTTTAACTCCACAAATGGTCCTCAGACGTCATGTTTTATTATATAAGCTTTATGAATAAACCTGCTGATCATGAGGCAGCTGAGATTACTTCACTTCCTCCATGTTTACCTTGTGCAACATTTTAATCGCTGCAGACGCCCAGCACACCCTTTCAAAATACGTTTAGTATTTGATGTGGTTTTGTTTTGTCAGTAGCTTTTTACCTGGTGAGCAGTTTGAATGGATCCAAAACAATCAGAGTTTCTGTGTAGGAAGCCTCTTCTCCCTCATCCCCATACCCCCACCTCCCCCCTACAAGCGCTCTGGCAGGGTGTGTGACCTGAATATTGCTCCCCTCATTGTTGCTCACTCTGCTGGGAAACGGGACCTTTTGTGTTTGCTTAATGGGAAGACGATTTGCAGTTGATTTCTACGGAACCTGTCTGTCCAGGCCCTGTTGTGTATCTTAGCTGAAAAGATCAGCACTTCAAAGCTCGCACAAACTTCACAGGCGTTTTTGTTAGACACCACAGAAGAAATGCCAACAGCAAGCCACAGAAATCTATAGCTGATATGTCCTGAATAGATGTTTCTCTCATTCTCTGTGTTTATTAACCTACTGACCCGGACAGCAAATTAAAAAATGTCTCTGAATGTAAAAGAAGTGCATCTAGTTTTTTTTATTTGATACTTTTGTTTTTGCTGTTTTATTTTGTTTTTAATGTTTTTTAATTACATGGGTCTGTGTAAGTCAGATGCTCTTATTTCTCCAGTTTAACCCTTTCCTCTCTGTCCCTTCTCTCCCTCAGGTTGTATGTTTCTCCTAGAAAGCAAGTGGCAGAGCAAGGTCCAGACTCGCCGCTGAAGTGGTGTCGCCAGGCCCTCGACCATCGCAGCCCGGAGACGGAAATGGCTTGTCGGACACTGATAAATCGTTTGGACCAGAGTACGTCTCTTACAAAAGAAAAAAAAGCTTCATGTTTTTGTTGCGTTGAAACTGAGGCACAAAAAAACAAAGAAATTTAAACCTGAATATTTGCAATGAGAGGATTTTGTTCCTTTATTGCTGCAAGCAAAGGCTGCAATTTTGTCAATGGAAAAAAAAAAATTGAAAAGCATTTCTATCAAGAAAAGAAAGAAAGAAACTTTGATGTTTTCTCAGATTTTATTATTTCAAGTTCCCATTTTTATTTTTTATATAATATATATATATATTTTTTTTAACTGTATTTGTTTATTTTTTATATACTTTTTTTTCTTCAAGTTTTTTTGTCTGGTTGAAACTGAGTTAAAATCTACAACACATAAAAAAAGAATTGAATGAAACAAAATCTGAGAAAACAGCAAATTTACTCCCTTTATTATTAGAATTTGTGTTCCAAAGTTTCACTTCTATACTGCTTTTTGTTTTTATTTTCATTTACAAAATGTGTCCCTTGCTGCCAACAATAGAATTCACTCCATAGATTGGCTTTTTCTTCCTGTCTTGTTCTCTTACTTACAGTTTTCCGCTCCGTTGCGGCTTCACTGAACGCTTTAAGTTCTGTGACAAAGCCTGAATAGTGGGATTCAGAGTGGATGCTAGAAAGTTTGCATCTGATCCAACAGGATGCATTCATTTTTAATCATGCGCTCAGTTTCGACTCGGTGGCTGCTGTAAAACCTGAACAACAAAGCTATTCACACCACAGCAGAACAATCACATACAGTCATGGGTCAGATTGGATTACCTTCCCCCATTCCCAGGCCTGCTACCCTTTTAAAACATCAACCTGAAGGCAAAGAGCAAGACTTGATAATTTAAACATGCTGAATAATTTGTGATGTGTTAATCCAGTACTACTAGCTTCCTTCGTAGACTGTTCATCTCTGTCCTGTCCTCTGCAGCGTCTCGATGGAGAAACGTGTACTGCAGCCCGTCAGAGGCAGGCTCGGCCAGCTCTGGCCTGATCTCTCCTGGGTACCAAAAATCAACTAACAAATCCGTACTAACCTGTGGCGGCTCAGGTATGGCATGACATTAACACACTGCTTCACCAGTGGGAATGATGTAACAGGGTTCTCTGAAATAAAAGTGGTTGCCAGTTTGATTAAAACTCTCCACGGTGTCAACTTTTGAGAAGCTAAACTTTGGTTTTTTGCACGTTGACCCACTTTACTTTGTGCTTGCCTGCACTGGAAACTAATTTTCAAAATCTTTTGCATATTTTCCAGACTGATTTTCTTGTTTCTGCCTGGTAACTGTTTATCTCCTGATACTGCAGATAACTAGTCAAATAAGGACATCCTTAAAGTTGCTCTGGTAATCAGTAACCTATTGCATGGCAAGCGACTTAAGCAATCATCTTATGTTTGCATCCCTGATTAAGGTCATCAGTTTTACGATTACTGAAATGTTTTTTTATAGACAGACATTAAAATGAGTGAGAAAACAAACAAAGAAAACCGATATTGTCTTTGAAAATATGTTGTTTTCCTAACAGGGTAAAGAAAATGGTTGAATGTTCTTATATTTCTAGATTTTATTTTTTAAATCTTTAGGCTGGATGTTTCTCACCTTCCCATTTTTGCATCAACTTGAACATGTGATCCTGTTTAATAGGGGATCTTTTATGCAACATGTTTTGTTTTTATCCAAATCTTATTTGTTTATCAGCCAGGGAGCCCCATGAGTGCTTTAATCTTTCTAGAGTAAAGCTGCTGTGGAAAACAGTAGTAAAGGTCAAAAAATGGTGCAGAGGTTTAGTTCATAGCAGCTTAGAGGGTATTTTTGCACTTTGCACACTTTGGCGCATTGCAATGGCCCACCTTAGTTTATGTATATAAAACTTTCAGAGTAGAGGTCCTTTAGTTCTAAAATTAAATGATTCTGAAAAGTAGGGCTGAACAGTTTTGCAAAAAATTATGATTAAAAATTGTGATTTTTTTTTTATACTAAAGCAATTTTATTTCTATTTTTCTTTGCACTAACCAAAAGCACGTGTGTCACTTCAGGGTTTCAGTTTTTTCGTGACCATTAAAGCTTGCTTGTCCACAGTCCATTGTTGCAGGACTTTAATGCTACTTTTGTTTGGGAAAAGTGGTAACTTCTACTCGCCTGCATGGATCTGCATGCTAGCTGAATATTTTTCTTTCCTTTTTTGTGGCAACAAGCCCCCATTAAACCTATTACTACCACCTTAATTGCTGTAGTTGTTAAATGTAAAATGCGGTCTTGTTAAATGTAATATTGCCAAAGTTGAGACCCTCTGCAGTAATGTAATGCAAAAATGTATTTTTTTAAAACTGTAATTAATTTATAGAATAGAAAATCCCTTTATTTTCCCACAATGGAGAAATTCTGGTGTTAACAGAAACCAAAAGATTATAGAAAAAAAGCAGATGTAATTAATTCAGCCTTACTGAAAACCATGTTTCCATTTTCTTCCATTTCATAATTTCGTTTAAGACTATTACATACAATCTGACCAAACTACATCCTAGTTTGTTGTTTTAACAGGACAATAACGGAATATTTTTCAAGGTACTGTAAACACTGTAGCTGTAACCAGTTGTTTTGCTTGTTATTATTATTGTTGCACTGATACCAGTATCATGCAGGGCCAGATCCAGTACTAAAATGCTGCTATCGGTATTACAGACAAATAGGGCACTGATACCATTTTGAGAGCCAAAAGTTTATTCAACTATTGTTACCCATTCCAGGTAGGCAATAAAAAGTTCTACTGGATTCACTTTGTATTAGTCTTTTTCCTGCTTCACAAAGGAATGCAGCAGCTTGACAAAGCCATGATGGCAATTATTTTACATCTAAGTAGTATGCAGTTCTTCATATATACACACACACACATCTATTTTAAACAGATCGTATCGGTATCGGCCAATACTGCACAGCCTGGTATCGGGTACTGGTATCGGGGCCAAAATAATGCCATCGGCGCAACACTAGTTATCATTGTTGGTATCTTAGCAGCTCATTGTATCATCCTGAAAAGGTTGTCTGAGATCTCAAAGTGCCTGAAAATGATTCATCATTAAACTGAAGAGGAACATCTTAAATCAGTGCATTAATAGAATTCTTCACTCCGTTATCATGGGGTAAATTTTTTTTTTTTTTTTTACAACATCCAGCGTTTCATCAGTAACGACTCTTTTAGTTTCACACCAACTTCCTGCTTCTTCTCTGTTGTGAAAATCATCCTGTGATGTTTTTTTGTTTTGTTTTTTTCTTTTGCAAGATTGTGTTCAGGATAACAAAGTTTAGTGAAACATTGTTTGCTTCTTTGGGGCTGAGTGCTTTATTTATTGCTTTCCTTGATATGAGAAGCTCTCAGTAGCTCTCATGGTTTTAATGTTTAACTCGTGTAATTAGTATCACTCCCTTTTATTTCAGGTGTCCCAAACATGCATTCAGCCCTGAGCTCCCAGTCCTCCATAGACAGCGAGCTCAGTACCTCAGATGACTCCATTTCTATGGGCTACAAGCTACAGGATCTCACCGACGTGCAGATCATGGCGCGTCTTCAGGAAGAGAGTGAGTCTTGTAAACATAGTTTCTTCTTCAGTTTTTTTTTCTTGCTTGAATGACTTATCCTTTTTTTGCTGACAGGTCTTAGGCAGGATTATGCTTCCAGCTCAGCTTCTGCGTCCCGCCGCAGCTCCACAACGTCTCTGCAGTCCCTGCGCCGTGGCGGTACGTACAGCGACCAGGAGTTTGACACATACAGCCTGGAAGACGAAGAGGACGAACTCTCGTCGGCTCCCCAGCGCCGTCATCGCTTCACACCATCGCCGCTGGGCTCCCCTCGCTGCCTCTCTCCTTCCACCTCCAACCACGGGCAGGAGTACGGTAGCCGACTAGGGGCGCCACGAGCAAGAACGCCCAGACGCTCTCTGCAGGGTCCCAGCGCAGAGCTGCTCAAATTTGCTAAAAGTGAAGGTAGGCTTTGGGGGCCCAAAATATTCCTGGGAAGGTTTCTGTAGGTGGGAGGATGTTTATTCAGCTGTTAAATACCTTGTGTGTGGTTGCAGAGGAGTTGAGACACAGCATGCCTAACCTGGCTCCCCGTACCAGCCTACGTTCCCTGGAAGCGGTCAGGAACAGCCGCAGCATGGAGGCTAACCTCCAGAGCTCTGGCAACCGCATGTCCCACCTGACCCGCTCCCCCTCCACAGGTAACCCTGCCCTCTTACCCCATCCCTCGCTCCAAACAGGACCTTTCCTGATAGGTGCATGGCCATGAGAATGCAAAAAACCCTCAGGGAGAATGACTGCATCCCATTTTTTAATGAATTTTTAATAAATTTCTATCAATATGTGGATGCTTCCAGGAATAATTCAATATAAAAAAAGACTTCCCAGTTAGATGGGCAGTGCAAAATACAAAGCTTGTAATAAAGCTTTAGCATCACACATCCTGCAAAAGAACCGCTGTGCATGCTCACATTGCAGTATGGATGCTAAGATAAGCAGCCCTCATCATGCTTAATGATGGTGCCATCACTTTTACCTGAAAAGACTGTTATACCACTGAAACATACTTCTTTTTTTCTGACAAAATAGGATCTGTTCTTATTGTAACATTGACAAAAATAGATTTTATTTACTGCCTGTATTGACATGCATGACTCAGCCACGACCAGATTCAGTTGCATAAGCATCTCTGATGCTTCCATCCTCCTTTCTCTGACTTTTTTTTTATTATTATTATTTCGCTAATCCAGAATTGCCCTAAGCTTCTTAAGCTTGTGTACAACTCCCATATATGACACAAGAGTCGCACTAACAGGACCCTTCAACAGTATTCAAACTGTTTAAATGAAAAAAAAACCCACAAACCTCATTACATGGGGTTTTAATGACGTAGCCAACATGAGATGGGTTTGTGAGAAATGAAAATTAAAATAATAAATGGTTTGGTTGGATTTTCTTTGTTTTTTTTCATGTAATCAAGAGTTAAACTATTGGCATAAATTGGGAACTGTTTAATTCTTAATTCATGTCCAAAGATAGCAGTGATATTCTGATGGGAAAACTAGTATCAAACTGAGAAGATGACTTTGACTGTGGAGGAGCTGCAGAGACCCTCAGCTCAGGTCCATGAAGGGGAAATAGAATTTCGCAGATCAAGCCTTTTTAAAAAGGACCCAGGAATGAACCAATTGTTAAAGGGAAAGCACTCATATTTGATATCATGTCATGTAACGTGTAAAGGAAAATGTGGAAGACTGGACTCTGGTGAGACAAAACATAATATCCTTTTGTTTTATGTGAAATTAGCCACATGCTCAGTCTGAGACACGATGGTGGCGGCATCATGATGGGCATGTTGCCACTGAATAGCAAAAACAGATACTTGACCATGAGATGTTGGATCAGTTTCTAACAGTAAGACTAAGATTCCAAAGAAAACATGAAGCTTGATGTTGTAACACGCCAGTATAGAAAGGTTCAAATAGATGTTTTGTTTTGAGGATTGTTCCCTCTCTGTCTATGCAAGCCCATTTCTGCCCCTAGAAAGTAAATAAAGGCACACGGTATTTCGCAATTAAGAGTATAAAAGTCAGGTATCACATATCAATGACTTTAAATCTCATAGCTATGACTTTGCAAGTCAAAATAACGACTTCCTAGTTCATAATTATAACTGTATTCAATAAATATGACTTTGAAAAAATTATTCTCATTTTTAAATCATAAGGGATAGTAAGGGGGGGTGTGACGGCCTATTGGTTAGGGTATTGTGCTTAAATTCAGATGTTCTGAGTTCCAGCCCCACTCCCACAGACTGCCACCCTGGGTCCCTGAGCGAAGACCCCAACAACCCCACACTGCTCCCCAGGCGCTGCACAATGGCAGCCGACTGCTCAACAAGGAGATGTGTTAAATACAGAGAGTTTATTTCAATGAATGACAATAAAAGCTGAAGAAAAAACAAAAAAACATTTAAAATGTCTAAGTTCATCATTATTATTCTGAAAGTCAAAATTATGACATCTGAGCTCATAATTTAAACTTTAAATCTCCTCATTATGCCCAGGGTTTCCACGGGTCCTTAAAAAGTCTTAAAAGGCATTGAATTCTTCAAAATAAAACTAAAGCCTTAATTGGTATTAAAATGTCTTAAATCAGTCTTTCGTAGGTCTTAATTTTTAAAACATCATAAATAGGATTATTTTTATTATGATTTATTTTTGTAATCTAAATAAATCATTAAAATTGAGCTTTTTTTTTTTTTATAAAAAAAATAACGACTCGCCATTATTGGTTCCGTCCCGATAGCGGAACCAATAAAACGTTGACGGGCCGGGACATTTGGGAGATGCACCATTAACTTTTTGTCTGGAAAATATGAGCAAGTGTAAATGTAACCAAAATTGGCTCCAGCCAAGAGTTTTCTCCATGGCTAAAACCAGGGAACATACATGAGGCTCAGTGGATTTTGTGCAAGAAGTCATTCAAGCTCGGAACGATGGGAATTAAGGCAGTGGAGTCGCATGCGAAGCACGAAACACAAAGCGTCAAAATGGAGTTACCGAGAAACAGCCGGTATTTCTCAGTTTAGTTCCACCCTTGTCTCTGCAACGCCTCCACTTATCACCAAATCAAACATACTAAGAAAACAATACAAAGAAAAATAGATGCAAAAAAGACTTAGCACTGGTTATGTTGTGGCTTTAAAACTGATTTGTTTTGTTCCCTGCTAAAACAAAGTTTATGAATTCAGTTAAATAATTGTTCAAATATATCTGTCATTTGTGTGTTTTTAGCTTTCTTTCTGTATGGGAAGTTTTTCAAAATTTGAAACATTAGTGCAGTTTTTTCTTGTTTCTTGTGAATTTGGTCTTGAATTTTTATTTCAAGTGGCATTAAAAAGTCTTAACAAGTCTTGAATTGAACTTGCCTTATGCCGTAGGAACCCTGATGCCTTAAAATTCAAAACTATAACTTTAGAAATGATGACTATGAAACTTACAATTATAACTTTAAACTTTTTAATAATTAACTTGAAAGTCATATTTATCACTCAAATCTCATCAATATCACATTCCTTGTGTTAGTTTATTACTTTCAAGTCTCAGAAATGGGCTTCCATGCCTCTCTCACCAGTTTCCCTATAATCAAAAGAACTGAATGTATATCCTGAAAATGTTAATCTTTTTCCTCACTTTGCTGTTTTAGGTATGGCCTGCAGTCGCCTGCGGAGCAACGGTCAGTCTCCGCTCACGTTGCGAACTCCTGTCAAAGCCGTAAACCCGGTAGGCTCCATACCAGCTGGTCGTCAGTCTTCCAGAGGTCTCCCAGTTATCCAGTCGCATCCTACGACAGTTGGTCGCAGGGTGCAGTCTTCGGGCTCTGTGAACGGAGGTGGCTACGTACCTGGAAGGGCCTCCGTCGGGGGAGGAAGGCCTGCGTCGGAGCGTGGTCAGGCTGCCTCATCTGCCGGCACAAGAAGCAAACTCTCACAGCCTTCCAGGAGGTCAGTGGCTGGAAGGGAATGGGTTAAAATACGATGGAGGATTAGCATATTGAATCTAACCGTTCTTTTTATTTCACAGGTATTTAGGCATGACTAAAATCTCAGATGAATCTTGGAAAGATGGCTGCTACTGAGTTCCCCCTGAAACACTGACCTGTCCTTCTCTTATATGAAGAAACTCAACCACTGTGTCCCTAAGAGTGTCACAGAACCTCTCAGTCCCTTTTTTCAGGCTGGATCCCTGGGCTGCACTGGAGTCCTTGTTAATCTCCTCCCTTTGCATGATACATTGTCAACCCACACAAGGAGAGGATGTGTAGGAAGACGTGGAGCTGCACAGGCACACTCTGTTAGTTACGTGGACCAACTCTGGATTTCCTAAAAATATATATATATAAATATAGATACACATGTTTGTGTCAATTAAACATATTTTTCTATGGTGATTTTGAGAAGCTGTTGGTATTTTAGGGGTCATTTTTCTGCACTGTTGCTGTAATTGATATGAAGGCAAAAAAAACAAAAATGAAGATTTTGCTGGTTTGTACATTTGAATACCTAGATGGAAGTTTAAAGCATTGCATGCTGGGTTTTGTTGTTTTCCCCTTGCTCCATAAGCCTTTTCTCATCGTCGTCTTAACTGCTGTGTGACAAATCTTCCACGTTTCCCAATGCTGATCTGTGGAGACTAAATGTTTGAGTGAAACATTGTGAATTGTGTAGTGTTTGTGTTCTGTTACATGCCTACACACAGCAGCGCAACTCTTGTAAACCACACTGCCCTTATTAATTATTCCTGAAAAGAAGTACAGTTTGTGCCAAGGTGCGTAACGGCTGCGACTCTTCTCTTAAGAACTCTAAAAAGCTGAAGGTACTGAACATGTCGTCACAGGGATCTTTGCGGCATATCTGAAGGTGGAATAAAGGCCTCTGATTTTTTTGTGAAAACACTGCATTCAAGAAAACGATTATGCACAGAGGCCTTGTGCCTTATTCAGCTATGCACCTTCATGAAGAGTGCCTCTGAAATTCAGGAGCTGTGATTTAAAAAAAGATGACAATAAAATCTACCCTGAAGCTGTGAGTGACTCATTGGTTATTTTTGGGCGTTACCTGCTTCTTATTTACGCTTTACAGTCTATGAATACATGTTATCATTAGTATAAACAAAAGTGTAACAATCTCAATATATCAAATCAATGTGTACAAATGCACTTTTAAGATTGTACAACAAAAATCAGAAATAGCTAGAAGTTGTTTTTGTTTTTAGTTCAAAGTAAAAAGTGGAATATAAATTTCGTCTTCCAGAATTTTATTTGGATAAACTAAAATTTGAACATAAATATCACATCTGGAGATTATTATTTAATCGTTTTCTTTCATTATATCTTTTTGTCCACTCCAGGAAGCTTTTCTGCTGCATTTAAGCTTTTCTTTCAGTGAGCTGTGGGCTGCTACACTGCACTGCTTTTGGAGCATTCTTGGGCCGAAGTTCTTCCTCACCCGGAGTAACAGTTATAGGATTAAAACCAGGGAACTGGTAGACTTCCAGGCAAAGGACACAAGTGCCCACCTATAATCATTAGGTCACCACTTCTCTAATTTAGAAATGTATTTCTCCTAAATTATGTTTTTTTTAATCTAGAACTGTCCAAAAAGCAGAAGGAAATCCAAAAGAAAAAAAAAAGAGCAGTAGGTCCCCAAAGGTTTGTCAGATTTTTGTCTCACATGCAGTTTTTTAGGCTCTACTGAAAAATGTTCAGTACTTTGAACATTTATTTTGTTCTCTGTTAGTCACTGCAAAAGTAATTTGCCCCTATCTAGACTTAGACAACTTTTATTGTAATTTTCTACAAATAGAGAGCAAGGTATTAATTTGGAAGACATGTTTTAATACAACATTAATCCTCACCACTGTATTTTATTTAGTTGAATTTACCAGTTACCACTGAAGTAACATGAGGTTGTCATATCTGTATCGTAGGCTAAACACTTACTCATTTTTATTCAAATGGAAATGCCATCACAGATATATTTAGAGTGGTGTGATGCATAAATATAATCCAATAATTAGTCGTATTCTGAGGTTAAGATAACATTGATCACATTCAGATGATATTTTTTCTCTCAGAGATCACTGAAATGAAATACAGAATAAAATATCCTTTATCGCTCCTTGGAGGATAAGTACTAGCTGTAACTAGTTACAAACATATGGTAACATGTAGATTCGCCGAAAGGTAGAATATACAAACAAACAAAAAAGTAGATAAACAGATTTAGAAGGTTGTTTTATATGGCCAAACCTATAAAATTTACAAATTAGTTACAAAATCGCAAACTTTCCTAATCTATCAATTATGGAGAACTATGGCATTACATCTACTTTAACACAAACATTTTGATGAAAAAAAAAAGATTTTCTACAAGAGAACTTGAGTTCTCGTGATTTATAGTAGGTGGACGAGCCCCCAAATTGTGTTTTGGTCATATACAGCTTAGGACCGCATCTAAATTCCTTAGTTATACAAACTCTACTGTTTGCATCCTATAGATAGGTGATCCTCCAACAAAAATCTAATTTGGTTGATGTTTTTCAGGAAATCTAACACATATTTTAGAAATATTTAGATTTGATCTACTTCGTTGCAAAGTTTGGAAAAATTAAGTGGTAGTTGTAATAAAATTACATAAATATAATTTATACATATTATACAAAGCGGTGGAAATTACTGTAAGGAATAAAACAATGTTTAGCAATTCTTCATAATCTCATGACATATTAGCATGCTGATCTGTGTTTTAGAGGAAGCACCCAAAATACACAATCTAAAGGAGTATTTTTTTAAATCAACTCTACATTGATAGGACCTTATTTTCATTTTAATCCTGTTATCTTGCCATTAGAGTCCCTGTCACATGACAACTGAAAGGTTAAAAAGAAAGAAAGAATTAAAAATTACATGTTGTGGTGGGAAGGACAGTGATACCTATGGAAAGGTTTTCCTTTTATGAAAAATAAAATATTGATATATGTGTCAAGCAGATTATATATATTTTTTAAACAAAATAGTTAATTTCTGTTCCATTTGTCAATAAATTTTCTTTTAAATCAAATTTAAATTCAGTCATATGAGGGACTGAAAGTCCAAAATCTGCCAGAGGGACAAAGGACATATCCCAAAAATAGTTAATTTAAAATCAAAATGTATATTATATAAATAATAATGCATCTATTTTGCATCTAATTTTTTGTAAGTTTGTCTTTGGGTCTAGTAAGTGCAGCATTAATTAAAAAAAGTGTTTTTGTTTTTATTTCTGCCTGGGACACAACTTGGAGAACCGCCAAGCTGCAGAAATGTACGGAAGAAGATTAGGGCCACTGAAAAAACAAGAAAGAGTTAACTGATTTTTACATTTTATTTCAGTTATTATGAGGAAAAAGTCAAAATTCTGACTTTTTCTCAGAATTCTGACTGAAGTCTGACAGCTAACAAACATGTTAGCATTAAGCCGTAGCCATGTCTGTTTCAGAGACTAAACTAGCTCTCTTGTTTTATCACCTTCTGCTCTTCCATTAATCAAATAGCATCACCGGGGACCCCTCGGGCATGTAAAAAGTTGCCTAATTGCATCATTTTCCACCTCATCTCTTCCTGTATGGTGCCCATCTACATTAAGATCCAAAATTCTAAGAATAGTGTCAGAATTCTGGGATTAAAGTCAGAATTCTGTGGGGGAAAAAAATCTGATTTTGGTTCTTAATGTAGATTGGCACCAAGAAGGAAGAGATGAGGTCAAAAATTATGCATTTAGGAAACTTTTTAAGTGACTGGGGGGTCTATTTGATTAATTCTGAGAAAAAAGAATTGTGATGAAAAAAGTCAGAATTATGAGAAAAAAAAGTCAGAATTATGAGAAAAAAGTCAGAATTATGAGAAAAAAAAGTCAGAATTATGAGAAAAAAGTCAGAATTATGAGAAAAAAAAAGTCAGAATTATGAGAAAAAAAGTCAGAATTGTGAGAAATAAAACTCATAATACTGAGATTAAAGTCAGAATTATGATGAAAAAGTCAGAATTGTGAGATTAAAGTCAGAATTGTGAGAAAAAAGTCAGAATTATGAGAAAAAAGTCAGAATTATGAGAAAAAAAAGTCAGAATTGTGAGAAATAAAACTCAGAATTCTGAGATTAAAGTCAGAATTATGAAGAAAAAGTCAGAATTCTGAGATTAAAGTCAAAATTCTGACTTTTTCCCTATATTAAACTGAAATAAAATTTAAAAATCAGTCAACTTTTTTTGTCTCTCAGTGGCCCTAATCCTCCTCCTTAAATAAAGGTTCAAGTTTAGTGTGTAATCTCTCAATGGATAAAACGTGTTATTTATATACTGCAAAAAAAAAAAAAAAAAGTTTTACTCTTTCACTTTTTTATTTTACGGGACATTGTCAATTTCAAAGTGTATATTTTGATGAAAGGTTGCATTGTGATTGTAATGATCTCGATACTAACTCTTCTGTAGGCTATGGAGGCTCTGTAGCCGAAACCAGAGTGTGGCTGCAGGATGAAGCTCTCTATGCTACCCCCCCCACCCCCTGTGACAAAATGGCCTACAGGCCTCATCTCTGCTTTCAAACTCTGAGCAGCGCAGGGGGGGACATTAACTTTATTGTCTACCAGATTCTGGATTTAATGTTTCTATATTCAGTTGGCGTAACTATTCTAATTAAATGTTTCAATTACGGCAAGGATTGTTTTAATGCAACTGCTCTCTTATGCATGACGCAAATAGTAAGGGATCAGCGGTAAACGAGGCCACGCATTGTCTGCCCCCCCACCCCGCCCTCCCTTTGCTTGTCAGGGAGCAAGCTGATTGGCCGAGGCCTAGCAAAGAGTGGCCGGGAATCCAAAACCTGCAGGCCGCACTTAGCTTACCGTCAAAAATAAACCAAAATAATAACAGACAAATTCGTCAAGGGGGAGACTCACCGATAGAGTCGGGAGACGAAGCTATCAGGTAAAAATATTTCAAATCAACCGCAGAGGCACGGGGAATAGGACACATAGGCCCAGTCAAACGTAGCGGGCCTTATTCGAGAAACAACATGGAAGATAATGCGGCACAAGCTGCTCCGACTAGCTTAGCAAGCTAGCTAGCCTAAAGGACGAACGTCTGTTCGAAAATTACAGCGCAATGCTCATTTGGAAAATAATACAGTGCATATAGATTGATTCCTCGTGTTTACATTTTTCACCAGCATGTTTTACATTCAAGTGTAGCGTTGCGCAAATACATATTTATTCGGGTAGAAGATTCCAGAGGGTTAGCCTTAATGCTAAAACAAAATGGCGCTTGAAGACTTTCTTTTAGCTTGCTTGCTAGTTAGCTTCATTGGGTGGAGGGCGGTTTCCCCCTTGTTATCCATTGCATAACTGCGGTGGTTTGAGCTGTAGCCATAAACTATTAACATGTTATATATTGTGTTTCGATGCTCTAGTTTTATTAACGCAAATGTGAGTGCTAAAGGTTATGTTTTATTTTTTTAATCACGGAAGGGTGTCGTTTCACATTTATACTTAAAATGCACAAACAACACAGACATTAAGAAATCGTATAGTAGGCAATTATGTACAGCATTGCCTTCCGTGCAAAACAAACAATAAAGTAATATCATCCGAATGCTATAAGATCAGCTGCCCGTCAGCCAGCACAGTGAGCAGGACTGTCCTTTGTTTGTACGGGGCTCTGCCCATCAAGCCCAACAAGGTCCAGGTGTATAAGGCTGACGAATTTTGCATGTAGTATTCTTAACTAACAACAGAGGGAGCCCTCGTTCAAAAACAACAACTCTTCAACCCGAAATGACAAGAACAAGGATTTTTATTTAATGTTATTTGTTTAACACCAGCATATAAACAAACCTAACCAAAGCGATTTTTACACAGGTTTTAATTTATAGAAGAACTACGCTTTTAATTTTTGGTATCTGTTTTCTTTTGTTTCAGGGTGATTAAGCTTCATGGAACAAAGCAGATCATCTATCCAGTTGGTTTTATTGTAAATGTGTTATTACTAAATGTGAAGGTATGTATCTGGGGCTGAGTACAGTTTCACAGCCTTACAATTTACTACATCTAAATGACCTATTATACTTTTTAACAATGTCAACTAACCACAAGAAAGCCATGGCAACAAAGCAAAAACATTTTGATATGTGTAATATGATGTTTCAGTTTTTTTACAAAGTGAAGACATGGATCAAGGAGGGGGAGTATTGGAGCTGCACACCCAGGAGCTGAAGATGCCCCATGCTATGATCATGCAAGATTTTGGTAGGCGGTTCAGAAGAATACTTCCGTCTTTAACCTAGTAATTTGTAAGATTAACTTGCAGTTATATATATATTATTTTATTCCATGATGTCTGAAAAATGTCATTCTGAATTAATAGAAAAAGACTACAAGATATCTTAGAGCAATTTAGTGAAATAACTTTTCAGCATTATTGTTTCTTGAAATGTAAAACTAGATAAGGTGGGTTGTAAAAAGATGAAAAAAAGGCATTCAAATTTCACATAGCAGGAAAAGCAAGGTGAAGAAAAACATAATGTTTATGTGAGAAAGGAATGAACAGTTTCCTTGTACAAAATTGACTTAATGGAAATTCAAAATGCTGATGAGAGGATTTAGTTAACTCCCTGTAGAGGTTTCTAATATAAACCCGCTTTTAGGGATTTCCTGATCCAATATTATTATCCGATATTGGTTTGATATTAGCCAAAGAACTAATATTGGAATTTATCGACTGGCACATCTGATATTTTTCATGTTGAGAGAAACACGGCTATTATTAAAAACCTCTATAACTCATTGGGTAATTTTACATGGGTCTGTTGTTTTCAAACCTTTCTGTTGTTGAATTTTGTTTCCCATTTTAGTAATATTACTTGGTTAAGCCTACAGTATATAATGAATAATAAAAGCCTGCGTAATTTGTGCTAATATCACACCTGGTCAATGTCGGTATTTGTTCATTCTCAAAGCTGCAATATTGGTATTATATCAGCAAGTAAAAGTTGCATTGGAGCATCGCTAGTTGTTTTACATGTTAGTATTGAATATTTTAAATTTTCTTGTGGAATTAGTTTTTTAAGTCTTCAACTACTCTAATGTAAGTGCCATTTTACCCTGGGCCCAGCTACATAAAAAAAGTTTAGAGCTGCAAATAATACATCACCTGTAAATAAAACCTGAACTTATTATTTGTAGTAAATATCTGTTGCTATTTCAAACAACAGAAAGGTTTATTTACATTTTTATATCTTAAAATAAGGACAAAGAATTTATGTTTTTCATAAAGAGGAGGAATTGATTTTGACTTTTGTTCTATTTAGTAACATTTTTGCAAAGGGAAAAAAAAAAACATTGTTTTCAAGCTATTGGCAAGAGATATAGATCTGAAAAAAATTATGATTTCTTTTTATGTCAGTCTGTAGGGAAAATTAAATTCAAATGTTCTTTAAAAAACTGCTATGGCTCTTAAGAATAGTACTTGTTAATATACTATAGTCAAAACCATTAGTTGATTTTTTATAGTTTTCATCCACTTTTAAGAGCCTTTGTAGAGGGTCCATAGAGCCACAGGTTGCATATCTGTGCTATTGGTGAACAACAAAATATAATACATCCTCTCAGGCATTTGACTCGTTTTGTTTCTTTTTCTTGCAGTTGCAGGCATGGGGGGTTTAGCTCACATCGATGGAGAGCACATTGTGGTGTCAGTACCAGAGGGCATGCTTCTGTCTGATGTCATGACGGACGAGGGGATCCTCCTTGAGCATGAATTAGAGGTAGAGGGTCTGGAAACTCAAGTTGTTCAAGGCCTGGAAACCGAAGTGGTAGAAGGACTGGAGGCTGAAGTGGTTGAAGGTTTACATGCAGACGTGGAAGGCTTGGAAGCTGAAGTTGTCGAAGGCCTTCAGACACACGTGGTGGAGTTGGAAGCTCAGGTTGTGGAAGGCCTGGAAGGAGAGGTTGAAGTTGAGGGTCTTGAGGCACACGTGGTTGAGGGCCTGGAAGCAGAGGTGGACGTTGAGGCCCTGGAAGCTCATGTCGTCGAAGGCCTTGAGGAAGAAGTAGAAGTCCACGGCCTGGAAGCTGATGGTGTTGAAGGACTGGAGGTGGATGTAGTAGAAAGTCTGCAGGCTCAGGCTGTAGAGGCCCATGAAATGGAGAGTGAAGACATGGTCCCCACTGGACACAGTGTGATCATGCCTGATAATATCCTGGGGACAGAGGTTGCTATAGAGGAGGCTTTGGAAGCTCATCATCACCACGTTCTTACAGCAGACCTTATCCAAGACTCTAACCACGATGACATGCAAGACCAGGTGTTTGTGGCAGAGCTGCTGTCTGAACACCAGGAAAATACGCTTGATCACCAGTTGGTGTCGGAAGGGTTGATGGTGGCGGAAGCCGGCGCAGAGACCATAATCCATCAACAGCTGCCGACAGAAGAGGTTCCCCTGCAGACAGATGAGGATGATGATGCAAGAAGTAGCTCAGAGGATTACCTCATGATCTCCCGTAAGATCGTCCGTCACACGTTAACACAACTGAAACAGCTCCCACTTTTGTATTTATTGTGGCATAACTACTGATTTCTGTGTCATTGAAGTTGATGAGGTGGGAGAGAAGTTAGACATAGGAGACACGCCTCTGGAGATCAGCACAGAAGTTATGGAAGACAAGGAAATCAAAGAGGAAGAGGAGTCAGAAGTCATTAAAGTCTACATTTTTAAAGCTGAAGCAGATGATGATTTAGGTAAGACACAAACTCTTTTGAGCCACATAAAATCATAAAGCAAATACATTGAATGTTGACTTATGATAAAAATGATCTTTACGTGTTCAGGAGGAACAGAGGTAATAACAGAAGATGATTACCAGAACGGCCATCCTGATCTAGAGGCAGCATCATCTGGCAGGTTGGGAGTTGGTCGGGACAAAATGGTCTATATGGCAGTCAAGAACACTATAAAGGAAGAGGAGGAGGATGGGGATGATGATGACGATGATGAAGATGACGACCAGAGTGATGAAGACGATGACAGTGATGAAATTGGTATGTTTACTTATGTTATAAATGCATTAGCTCCTAAGAAAACAATAAAAAGCTTGCTTTAAGAATTAAAGATGGGATAAGAAAACAAAATAATGTGTTTGCAAAAGTGTCTGGTCTTTTTTTAATGAAGGAAAAGAGGAAGGCAGGTTATAATGGTGTAAAAGGGATATTAATTTCTCTTTAGAAAAGCTCAGAGAATTCATAAAAGATCAATTTTGACGGCGGTGAATATATAATTTTGTTAACTTTAGGATTGCAACTAATTATTGTTTTGTAAATCAATTAATCTGTTGATTATTTTTTCAATTAATAATCAGATAGCCAAAGATTCCTTAAAGAAGACTTTTAATGAAATTAAACCATGTGAAACTTCACTTGAGTTCTAGATAAAGCATATTGATTGACTTTTTTTTTTTTATTCTTAAATGCAAAATGCTTATGTGTTTTTTTTAAATCTTGATATAATTACTGCTCTAAGTGAGTTGCTCTGTCAGCTAAAGGCATGTCTCTATGCTCCAGTTAGCGATTAATCAATTATTAAATTAGTTGACTATTATTTCAATAATTGATAAATCATGATTAGTCTTATTGTTTCAGTCCTAGTTAATTTTTATTAGGAGCAGGAGATAAAAATTAAGTCATGTATCCTTTGTTTAATGGTTAATAAATATAGTAAAATAATTCCTTTTTTAATTCAGCATTTCCTTAATGCATTAAATACAAAGAAAACAAAAATCTTTTAAACTTCTTTTTGGTTCTGATGAAACAACAGTTTTATGATTCTCAAGAGGCCAGAAAATAAGACAGGAGTCTCACAATAGAGCCTCAGTAAATAAAAACATTGAACAGCAGCTTTGAAAGTTTGGACATGTCTCTTCTATCAGTCTAGAAATTATGGCAATAACTGTTATAATGGTAGCCAATCAATAATAAACTGCTTGCCTTTAGTGGTTTATAAACGTGGAAAATATGAGTATTTTTTGTGTAGTGTCAATACAAGTATATATAAAATTATGTATTAATTTAGGAGAATAATTTGGAAAACTGAACTTCAAAACATCTAAAGGTTCACAACGATGCTCTGGCTGCTCCATAAAAAAGAAAAAAAGATTTGGATTTCTGAATCAGAAATAACCTGCCCTGTCATAGACCAATCAGAGCAGACTAGGGCTGGTTATACCCCTGCAGCAGTGTGTCGCAGTGGCTTGTTGCAGATATTTTTGATCTATGCCTGATTTTGAAGCGTGGTCTGCGCTATGTTATTCTACGCCACAACGCAAGAGGGACAATCACCAACTAGCTGTGGGTCTAGATACAGCCGAGGAAGTGGGGGCGAGTTTGTGCAACAACGCAGGCACATGAGGGCGAAAAAGAGCAGGGATCAAGGTGGAAAAAGGGTCCCAGCTTTCTTGCGCACCTCACTCTTCTCACTGATCCAACTTCACGAGTCGTTTTCCGCAATGGCGGTCATACAAACAAAACAGGCCGGTAAGGTACCGAACAGGAAATACACAGTGTAGAGCAGATGTAGGTTTGACCAATCAGAGGCCTCCTGTCTGCGGTACTGTCTGCGGACACCTACAATTTGGGAGAACTGCAGCAGATCTGCGGAAGGCGGCGGAGGCAAATTTGAGTTCACTGCGACACACGCAGGTGATCTGGTTTCTAAGTATAAATCAGCCTCAACTGTGCTGTGAACAGGTGCATCTTCTGCTGCATGCATGTTGGTTGGCATGGCTGTCAAAAACCAGTGAGAGTTTAATTGATCTACTGTTGAAACCAGTATTACCAACACTGACCAATGTTTTGGAATGCCACATATTCTTCTTCATGTTGGATCCTCTCTTTCTGCACCTGTAATGGTCTTTGATGCGTGAAATAATGACATTTTGGCAACCCTTTTTTTTTTTTTTTTTAAAGAACACAGATGTTTGGCTGAACATATTAACCCGAATACAATTATTAAATGTAATAATGGATTTGTTATTAATGCTATAGGAGCCCCAAAGAAAAATTAAAGTATAACGACTTTCCTCTGTATTTTTTAATAACATCCATTTAGTATTTCTGTAAAAGAGGTCAGATTTTCCCCCCCCACTGCTAAGATGGAGTTTTCATCATTGTTTTTTAAACGAGTAGATTTTCTCTGGTCGACTGCCTGGAATTAAACATTCAGCAGTTCATGCTTATGGGAAACGGTCGTTTGGACTTTACAAAGCATTCATTTAATCGTTTACCCTGTATTTGCAGGTAACACCATTGATCAGGTGAAGAATGGAGTTTCTACCCCTTTTCTGCAAATCCGAGAGGGACTGGGCGCAAACCGTACTCTCAAACCAAAACCTAAGAAGAACAAAAAAGGAGATACGCGGCAGTGTCAGACTGGTACGACAAGCACTATGATGATGACCAAATTTTTTTATGCATCATCTTATCCCAACTGTTGACCTCTGTACTGTATAGTACATTTAGATTTTTGGCTTCCTGACATGAATCTAACTCTTGAGCTCTCATTTCAGAAATATTTATAAAATAAGATGAGAGGGCCTTTTCAGGATCTTAAATCTAACCCTTTATCCACTCCAAGCTCACCATTTTTGATTTATTTAGATTCATGTTCTGTTGGTACGCCCAACATCGGTTGATCTGAGATTAATTTGAACAACTAGGAGATGCTACGCCATATTTTCACCCATCTTGTACATAGTTTGTTCCACTGGATTTAGATACCTCTTCAGTGTGATGCTGCTAATGCTACGCTTAAGAGTTGGTACAGTTTGCTAAAATGTCTGCTGCCACTGTTCCTGTAATTGTTTCCAGAAAGTTATACCTTTGCGTCATTTAACCATAAAGATTTTCTCCAGAAAGCATTTTCTCTATTCCAACAAATTTCAGTAAAGACTGAAAACCTGCCAGTTTGTAAGCTATGCCAAAACACTAAGACTATATATCTGGAAGTCAACAGTTTTTAAATTAACTTTTCAAATTCCGGTGAAACGTTTAATTCCAAGACAATTGATAACCACAAAATGTATTTTGCTTTTTTTTTGTGTTTACCAAATTTGTGTTGGTAAACACATTAAAACAAATATTTGTTTTTGGTGTGTTTATATACTCCAATATAGGAAATATACATCTTGGCTGAATCTATTAAACCTATGCAGCCAAATTTTATTTTTACAATTGATAAAACTTAAAGAAAAAGTTCTAAATGTGCTTTGAAAAAAAAAAAAGAAAAATTCCAACTTTGAAGCTGATAGTTACTATTTATTATTTAGCAACTAGGTACATAAACTTTAAACAGAATCGATAGAAACAGGATGTTTAAATATCGGACTATTTTCCAATATCAATACATCCGTTATTAATTATCAAGAAAAACATTTAAACCTGATGTTTTCTCAGAAGAAGCAACGCCCGTCTGACATTCTAAACTTGTTTTTCAGCTGTCATTATTGGACCGGATGGAATGCCTCTGACCGTCTACCCCTGCTACATCTGTGGAAAGAAGTTTCGATCACGGGGATTTCTCAAATGTCATATGAAAAACCACCCAGACCATCTGCTTAAGAAGAAGTACCAGTGTACAGACTGTGACTTTACAACCAACAAGAAGGTCAGTTTCCACAATCACTTGGAGAGTCACAAACTTCTGAGCCACAACACTGAGCGATCCCCAGAATACACAGAGTACACGAGACGTTATCATGAGTCCAGCCCCCTGGGCTCCGATAAGCTCATCGTCAAGGACAGAGAGCCCAAACTTCATCATTGCAAATACTGCGACTATGAAACGGCCGAACAGGGGCTGCTCAACCGCCACTTGTTAGCGGTCCACAGTAAGAACTTTGCACACGTCTGTGTCGAGTGCGCCAAGGGCTTCCGCCACCCGTCAGAGCTTAAGAAACACATGCGGACCCACACGGGGGAAAAACCCTACCAGTGTCCTCACTGCGAGTTCCGGTGCGCGGACCAGTCCAATCTTAAGACTCACATCAAGAGTAAGCATGGAGCAGACCTGCCCTTTAAGTGCAGCCACTGCCCCCAGGCCTACGCCGACGCACGGGAACTTCAACGTCACATAGAGATGGTGCAAGGCCACAAGACCCACCAATGTCCACACTGTGACCACAAGAGCACCAACTCCAGTGACCTTAAACGACACATTATTTCCGTTCACACCAAGGACTTCCCGCATCAGTGCGACGTGTGTGAGAAGGGCTTTCACCGGCCCTCTGAGCTGAAGAAACACGCCGAGACACACAAAGGCAACAAGGTGCACCAGTGTCGACACTGCAACTTTAACGCCCCTGACACTTTCACCCTGAGTCGCCATATCCTGTCCTTGCACACTAAGGATCTTCCCTTTAAGTGCAAGCGCTGCCGGCGAGGCTTTCGGCAGCCGGCTGAGCTGAAGAAGCACATGAAGACGCACAGCGGTAGGAAGGTTTATCAATGCCAGTATTGCGAGTACAACAGTACGGACGCTTCCGGCTTCAAACGCCATGTCATCTCAATTCACACCAAGGACTACCCCCATCGCTGCGATTATTGCACCAAGGGCTTTAGGAGGCCTTCAGAGAAGAGCCAGCACATAGCCAGGCATCACAAAGACATGCTGATGTAACATCATCACATTAAAAAAAGAAAACAAACACCTTTCTCTAGTAAATCTGTGTCTCTCATCCACAGGTAATTTTAGTGTATTAACAGAGAACTGACTGATAACAGGCAGTTGATGATCTAGTAATTGTTGTTTTGTGTTGTATTGGATTTAAACCTCCTCTCTACGGATGGAAAGACACAAAAAAAATTTTTTATATTGAGTGAAGTCTGAAAAAGGACAGTGTATAATCTAAGTGGGATGGCTGTAAATTGTCTTTTGTTGCAGAAAATCGCTTATGAACATATATTCAGGGTTTCAAATGTCTATATTTTTTTATACCCACTCAGCTAAAAATGCTGCGAGATGATGACTCTGTCAGTGCTTTGTGATCGTAATGCTAGATGTTAAATTGGCGAAGGTTTGCCTCCACAGTACAGACTTGTATCCCTCATGCTTGGTGTTAGCGTGACCTTAAAGCGGGAGCCTCAAACCCAAAACATCAAAATGGGTTTTCAGTCAGTGGCTCGCATAATGTATCTATGAACATTTAAAAAAAAAAAAAAAGATCATTATTATTTAATAGTAATCCCTTCCTCATCTCCGAGTTTCCTCTTAAGCTTGAACATTCAATGTTCCGTTAAAATCATTTTATATTAACATTTCCAGGTATAATTTGTCAAACATGTTAATCAGAAATGTTCTGGACCAGCTTGTTAAGCAAGAAAAAGAGCTTGCACGTTGGATTTTTCCTTTAATGTGTACATTTCTGATATAGACATCCGGCACTGTCTGCTCAGATGATCTGATCATTTGTTATAGTAATTACAGCTATTTTTCAAATAAACCTCACAGATAGCAGGCTTCACATGTATTAACCAGTCGGAGTGGTTGTACTGTATCTGACCGCCGTTGTAAGTCGCACACATGTGCTCTCTATGCTAACCGTCTGATTGCAGTCATGCCTTACATCTGTTGGTCTCTTAAGCACTGATGAAAAGCTGATCGGAAAAACATGATTTTTAACTCTTCAAACAAACCGAATCAATGCCATTCTCTCAGAGTGTAAGTCATTAGAAAGCACTTTAATATATATATTTTTTTTGTATTTTTGGTTTCATGTAAGGGAGTCGATTATCAAAAGATATATCTGTATATATATATATATATATATATATATATATATATATAAAGATATATCTGTAGGAAAAAAAAAACACCTTTCTTCTGGTGAAGGAGAAGTATTTTAAGTGTTTGCTCTTAACACTTGAGCACGATCCATTATCAAATTGTCATTGAGATTCGTTAAGTGAAACCATTTGTTTTCTATGGATAAATGCATTTTGTGTTTTGTTTGTGCTCACTAACAAGCCCCATCCCCCCCCACACACACACCCCAGTCCTACAATCCTAAATAACTAAACCGAATCTCAAGAGTGGGATTATTACCCTGGAATCAATGGTTATATTGGCATTAGTCTTTAAAGTATGCACCTATGTTGTTGATGAAAATAATCATGGTATACATTAAAAAAATCCCCACATTTTGTGTTTTTTTGTCTGTTTTTTTTTTTTTTTTTTTTTTTTTTTTTTTTGGATAAATTTTTGGGGGGGAAAAAAAAAAAAAAAAAAACCCTTTTTTTTTTTTTTTTTTTTTTTTTTTTTTTTTTTTTTTCGGTTTTCCAAACGAGGGAAATTTAAACAGCTTCTGCTGGAAATCGGAGTTTCACATCTGCTAATATAATAAGCTTATAAAGGTGCGTTTCAAGCTGAATTTTACTTCCTGGTGTTATTATTGGACGGTGCAGGCAGTTGATATATGATTTTAACTGAAATAAAGCTACATTATTTATCCCTAATTTCTGTGTTTAAGTGTCATATTTTAATACATATGACACAATCTATTCAGACTAATGACATGGGCTACATAAGAAGTAGCAAACATTTAAATGAGATTCCTAAGAAATTAGTGCAAAAGCTTTTTTATGGATATTAAACGACAGTTAATTATAAGTTTAATGAACCTGCTTAGTTTTATTTAGGTTTCTTAAAAAACTTGGTGAGAGTTTGAGTAATTGGCATCTGCTTGAGCTAAATATGCTATGAAGCTAAAGCTTCATTGTGTTTGCTCACTATAAAGGAAAATAAAGTTTTATCTTCACAAGATTTTCATTGGGATTTTTATGCAGCTCAATTCAATGAAAAAATACTGGATTAATCCTAAATTAAATGCAATAACTCATTTTTTTTTTGTTAAGGAGATCTAGATGTTAATAGCTGTAGGAAAGAAGGATCTTCTGTAGCGATCTGCCTCGCTTTTCATGAAGATTGTCTTTGTGAAATCATCTCCAGAGGTTCTAGAGGAGTTCCTAGAACACTGCCAGCCTTCTTTATCAGCTTATTGAGCTTTTTTAGTTTGTTTCTCTAGTGTGTTTACTCCAGCATGTGATGACAGAAGAGATAATACTTTCCTTTAAATATTTTGCATCTTGCTGCAAATGTTGAAGGACTTAAGCTTCCTTAACAAAAACAGTTGCTCTGTCCTTGTTGACGGCCTCAGGGTTGTTTTTAGTCGAGTCGAACAGATGAACATCGAGGTATTTACACTTAACAACTATACACAGCAATACAAAGCATGCCTCATTGCAAAATAAAAAATTGTTTTTATTTTTCTAAAATGACAAAATCAAACGTGTGGTGTCCATTAGTAATTACCCCCCCGTTTGCTCTAAATCCCCATATAAAACCCAGCACATGTTGCCCTTACAGGTTACCTTTTCTTGCCATTTACCACCAAGAACAAGGAAGAAGGTACTCCAGCCAGAGAGAGCAATTTGTCAGTTGTTAGGTTATACCCCTGAAGGCACATAGTCACCATGGGAAAACAACAGTGGAAGCCTAATGCTCCTTCTACCAGAAATAACGGCCAAGTGGATTTCAGAAAGACAGCTTGTTTTGAGACTTAAATAATTTAGACTGAGCTTCCAGCAGGTAGGTATATTTTTTTCTGTATGTAATAATAGAAATGGACCAACAAACTAAGGATTAAAGCCTAATTTCTGTGAAAACGGCCCTATCTAAGCCTGCTGATAGAGACACTTGATCTAATCAGACTGAGCTTGAGCTCTTTCATTAAGCGGCAAAAATGTCTGCTATGGTTGTGCTTAGGATTGACTTGGTTTGAACACTGCCATTTGGGTTTTATTTGTAATATATTTGGCAATAAGTTTGTATTCCATGTCAACAACCATACAGTACTGTGTGTTGATTATGACAAACGGGTGTGAAGACTTTAGCTCATCTTCACAAATTAATCTACAAAAACCTAATCTTTGTTTATTCTCCACTAAACCTGTTTCATTTTTTTCTTTGCACATCCTGAAGGTTTTGTACTGACTTGAAGAGAGATCATTGCTATATTTCCCTTAAAAGATAAGACTGAAAAGAGATACCTTATATAACTGAACATTTCCCAATGCTCCTGTTAACTCCACTACTGTTATGGTCATTTTTTTTAAAGCCCTGGTTACCATGTTTGTTGTTGTTGAAGGGGGTTTACATGAAAGGACCTTATAGATTCATGACAGTTCATTACGTTTACATAGGTTCTCTACTATTTTGAATTTGTAATGAAAAAAGTTATTTTTTATTCATCCATCCATCCATTTTCTCCCACTTAGTCCTTGTCAGTGTCCCAGTGTGGCTGGTGCCAATCTCTGTAAGTCTATGGGTGGGAGGCAGGGTCCACCCTGGACAGGTTACTAATCTGTTGCAGGGCAACACAGAGACACACAACCATGCACACACACACCTAAGGACAATTTACTGAAGCCCATTAACCTAAGAGTCATGTTTTAGACTGTGGGAGGAAGCAGGAGACATACAAACTCCATGCAGAAAGACCCCGGGCCGGGAATGAAACCAAGAACCTTCTCGCTGCAAGGCAGCAGTGCTACTCACTATAACACGATGCAGCCCATTTTTTATTTTTTAGTTGTTTTTTTGGCTTACATCTTCCAACATACTGAAACAAAATAGGAAATAAAAACACAGGTGTTCATGTGATTATTATTTGCACTAGGTTGTTAGAAACCACTCCACCAAAAGGCATGGAAGATGATTGGAACACTTTAGATGCAGTAATTCTAAAAATATTTGCAGTAAACAAAGAAAACAAATAGTTTTTGGAAGAGTGCCAGTTTTTGCATTTAGTTTTATTTGCAAAAACAGTCCTTAAACTTTGATTTTAGGACTGAATGCTTGTTTTTGTTTTTTAGAAAACACAAATATAATACTTGTCCTGAAAAACCTTAAGCAACATTTTATTATGTTAACAGCACCTTCATTATGGGGATTAATATTGAATGTTCTCGCTTCTTATTTTAGAGCTTAAATTAGTAATATCTCCAGACCTAAATCAATTCATTTATGTTCTTGCATCAAATTTAGACCAAAATCTTCAAAGCTGGCTGCAGCAGATAACGGAAACTCTTACATAACGAAATATTGGATGCACATTATGGAGAAGATCCTATTTGTCACACTGTAATAAGGAAAGACATCAAAGGATATGGAGGTATTCAGCGAACCATAGGAGAGCGCAGTATGTGGTAGTAACTGGTGTTTAGGGGCTTCCACTCTGGTGCCCAGCTATGATGTTTTCAGTGGACTTAAAAATAAAAAACTAAACCTGCATGCACTCATAGCTGCAGTCAATTTCCTGCAGAACACACATTGCAAATCTCTCTAAACTGTTAATCTGAGAGTGTCTTGTTTCACTTCCATATCACCTGGCGTGAAAGACAAATTACTCCTCATGCTAAGGGCAATGAGGCTTTGCAGACCACATAGACACAGGCAACATTTTACAATACAGATTCAGCTGCCTCCTCATTTTTGTTGATCCCACAAAACACCACATAAATCACCCGCTGGTGCTTCTGTCAGCAGAAACCGGTGGCGATATGCAAATCAATATATAGACGTCTCCACAAAATCCCCTCAGAATAACTGTTTCCTTGTCACTGCATAAACCAGCCCAGTTCGTATTAGGAGCCCTTTAGGTTTATTTTTCACCCTGAGTTATCCTCACAATCATCTCCTACAGGTTACAAGCTTACTTTCTGCACACCACACACACAGATGCACACAATGTACCCAGCAGCTTCAGAAGGCCATCAATGTGATGAAAATTGACAGATGTACTCAGATAATCCAGATGCTTTAGAAGGTCAGACCAATTCATTTGATGTAGTCATTTTGTTCCTGTTTCTGAGTGTCGGTGGACTGGGATGTGGGTGTGATTAGAATGATGAAACCAGCTGTAAACGTCTACTCCTATGATGTCCGTCGAATTAGTTACTCTATTTTCACTATGCAGCTTTTCATTACTGTTACAAGTTACCTGTTACTCTTGGTTGTAGCATATTTTGGCTGTAGAGCATATACTCTTGTTCTGCAAGAATTTAGTCATCCTTGCTTGTTTAATAGAAGATTAAATGCAAATAGAGCTGATGGTGTGTCATCAGCCCACAAGAGCATCCTTGTTTAACGCAGATTGCTAATGATGAGTTTGGACTAATATGAGTTGGCTGGAGACTGTGATGTCTTCAGGGAAATCAGTGCCAGATTGGCTGGAAATGGGCAAAACTTGTCCTGTTTTTAGTCAGACAGAGACCTGAGTTGATTAAAAAAAAAAATGACATAGAAAAGGCAGATCCCTTCAAAGGCTATGTACAAATCTTTGATTTCGATTTCAATTAAAAACATAGGCATTTACCATCTTACCTGCAGATTGTAGCTTATTTGGTAAAAAAAAAAACAAATAATTTGAATGAGGAACAGGAAGACTGATTTCTGCAGACTATCTTAGAACAACTCCAGTCTAGAACAAATGCATAGTTGTAGTCCAGAACAATTTGAGCTAAAGAATGGGGCACATCAAGATAAAATCCACAGTTTGAGTTCTAATTATAACAGAGCTCTTGCTGCAAATGTTTAAAAAGACTCTTCCATGCACATTTCACCATAAGTTAACTTCACCACAGAGCGTGAATCATCTGAGGGGCATTTTATTTAAATCCCATATATACATGTTTCTAGATTTCCCTCCTTCCACCTCCACAACATAGATAAAATTATTAAGATTCAGTCCAGAAATGATGCTGAAAACTGGTCTGTATTATTTTTATATCAAGGTTGCAGTATTGTAATTTCTTACTATTTGGAAATCTACAAATTGCAGTTTAGAGCATTCGTCCAAAATGCTGCTCATTAAAGTTAAAAAGAGATTGTATCTATTCCGCAGGACTGGCTTTCTATTCAATCAAAAATAGAATTTAAAACTGTCCCCTGACCCTTACTAATCAATCTCACAATATCAGATATCTTATTGAGTTCCCAACAGAGCAGTTTGCTCCCAGATTCATGTGTACTTGTGATTCTTAAGAGTTTTAAGTACCGGTATGAACTAGTTTTCAGGCTCCTCTTGGTGAACCACATTCTTGTTCTAGTCCATGACCCAGGCACCCTGCGTACTTTAAAGACTGGGCTTAAAACCCTCCTTTTTGATTACATTAATAGTTAGAGTGGCTCAGGTTATCCCAAACTATCTCTGTAGTTATGCTGCTATTAGCTTAGACTACTGGAGGACATAGGGACCACTTTTTCTCTCTTTTTTTTACTATTATTTATTACTATTATTGATTTCATTTTAAACATTTTGTTCTCTGTTTTTTTCTCTTTATAATTGCCACATCTGGCCTGTTTTTTTTTTTTTAGTTGTGACACCGTACTGGAGAGTGGCATCTTTCAGTCGTTAACTTTCTCTTCTAGATATACCTATTAGCTGAGCCTTGATTGTCTGTGTGGCCCCTCTTTTGTGTTCTAGGCTTACATACTGACTGAAAGCTATTTATTTTAGCTTTTTCTCTCTAAGATGAAAGCACTAAAAGAACTACTACTGCTAAGTATCCTTTTGCTTTTCTCTAACAAAGAGTATTTTTTGATCAGTGCTTCTGTGTTCCTTTTGTGCGTTTACTATGTCCACTCAAACCCCCAGTCGATGATGGCAGATGGTTGTTCACGCTGAGCCCAGTCCCGCTGAGGGTTTCCTCTCCATTGTTGCTGCTCTTTAAGAGGTATTGCTACAGAGTCAACAACCCAATTATTGCAACTATCTATTGCTGCTGATTATGCTGTTTCAGCAAAAGTGACATTTCTAACTAGGATTTCATGTGATCTGCTGGGTTTCCTTGGATAGAAAACTTTAACCAATACATCTGTAGGATCTGATAGAATCTACTTTCTAAATTGTCTTAAAAGGACATGTAAATTGGCGCTATATGAATAAGTTAAATTCAATTCCTTATTGGGCTGGTAAAGTCTTTGCATTTTAAAAGACAAAATAGAGGTATGTCTGGTTTTTCACCATGAACCGGTTTTAAAAAAGGAAAAGGTTCTAAATAAAATATTGGCTAAAATGTTTACAAATAGTTTTTTAATGACAACTTGGCAAACTGACCAACAGTTTCTGAAAACAAGGCAAGAATATTATGGAGAAAGTTGATGGTGAAAAAAAAATCTCTCCATTTTCAATTAAGCTGAGACCTAAAATAGGTAAATCCTAATTGCAAGAAGCCTAAATGTTTTCAATTTCCACAACAATTCAGTTCATAGCAGCAATTATCTGCAGCAGCAAAAGTCTCCACTCGTTAATTGCTCTGCACACAAAAGGTCCAACAGATGGGTAAAAAAAAGGATATATCTGCTTTTGAGGTAATGTACAATGTTGATTTTATTGTCACAATGTTTGAAAATTTCTATTTCAGTCAGCACATTATATTTTCCTCTTACATCAGTATAAATAAATAAAAAAAATCCGTCCAAATGTGGAATATCCTTGCAATAATATATAAAAGTTATTTATAGACTATAAATTTAACCACCCATTTTTAAAAGAAATATGTTTTTCTTTTCTTTTTATGACCGTTAAAGGCTAATTTAAAAAAGCGGTAGGTACTGTTTTTTCCTCATTTTTCTTTCAACATGATACATTTCATTATTAGAAACTTCTTACTGTTCAATTCAGTTTCAATTCATTTTATTTATATAGCGCCGAATCACAAAACATTGTCATCTCAAGGCACTTTACAGTTCATCAGATCACACAGTCAAATTGATTCAAAGTTTTCTGTCTAAGGAAAACCAATTGATTGCATTGACTCTTTGACTCAAATGCATTCCCTCACACCAAGGATGCTTGTAGCGACAGTGGAGAGGAAAAACTCCCTTTTAACAGGAAGAAACCTCAAGCAAAACCAGGCTCAGTGTGAGCGGCCATCTGCTAAGGCCGACTGGGGTTTACTTGTCATGGTCAACTTATTATAAAGGTCATTAAACAAAGCGGCAAATATTTAAAGGAACATTAATTTCACTAATTAAATTTAAAAAGGGAAACTAAATCATATATAGATTCATTACATATGAGGCAATATATATCCAATGTTTGTTTCTGTAATTTTAAAGGTTATAGATTCAGTCTGGAATTGACAGGAACAACCACACCATCAAGGTATGGTACTGATACCCAAAAAAATGGATTTTAATTAAACATTTCTTAAATGAAATGTTCGATTTAAAATACATGTTTCAATTAAGACTTCCCCTTTTGTATTAGAAGGCTGAAATAAAAGCAGTGATTTAAGGCTGTTAAATGATATTGTGGTGCACCTGCTCCCTTTTAGTTCCATAAAGGTCAAAAAGCAAACTACTGGACTTTGTTTTCCAAGTTTGAAGATGTTGCGCTTCCTATCCAGGAAGTTTTTTCAATTCAAAATGTCAGAATTGGCGTTGAGTTCCAAACTTTATAGAGTAGCCCAAACAAAGCCTGGTTTTAGTTAAAGTTAACATTTTGAAAGCAGTAAAAAGGGTGATCATCAAGAATATTTTGCTCTCCAAGTGTGTAGCTGTGTACGAAAAAGGATTAGGGCCACTGGAAAAAAAAAAAGTTAACCGATTTTTAAATATTATTTTAGTTTAATATGGGGAAAAAAGTCAGAATTCTGACTTTAATCTCGAAATTCTGCCTTTTTTTCTCAGAATTCTGACTTTCATCTCGAAATTCTGCCTTTTTTCTCGGAATTCTGACTTTCATCTCAGAATTCAGATTTTTGTTATCAGAAATCTGACTTTTTTCTCAGAATTCTGTTTAATCTCAGAATTCTGATTTTAATTTGAGAATTCTGACTTTTTTCTCAGAATTCTTGCTTTAATCTCAGAATTCTGATTTTAATTTGAGAATTCTGACTTTTTTCTCAGAATTCTTGCTTTGATCTCAGAATTCTGATTT